ACGTACCGCCCTTTGTAGAGCAGATCTGGGTCCATCATGGTGTATCCTGGTATTACAGTTGGATCCTGCTAATAATGGGCTTGTATCTGGGCCAACTCTGGTGCATCGCGAGCTTCCAACCTGATTGCTTCAAATAATGGGTGAATGGGTTGAGAACCCGTCAATTGATGTAACTTGATTACCCTAGAGAGGGCATCTGCTGCCTTATTGGTGGGCCCAGGTTTGTATTCAATAGAGTAGTCACACCCAAGAAGCTTAGAGATCCATTTTTTCTGGTCTTCTGTGTGGGCCCATTGCTCCAACAAGAACTTGAGGCTCCTCTGGTCTATTCAAATAATGAAATGCCAGCCCCATAGACATGAGTTCCTTTACATAAGCTGAATAATTTCGGGCCTGGGCTGACAAAGCCTTACTGTAATAGGCAAGGGGCTTCCCCTTTTGCATCAGAACTGCGTCTAATCCGGTCCTCGAGGCGTCGCACTCTAGCACAAAAGTCTCATTGAAGTCCAGTAGGGCCAAAACTGGAAGTGTGGATATGGCCCTCTTCAGGTTTACAAAGGCATGATGAGCTTCGGGTCCCCAGATAAAGGAGTCCCACTTCAACAACTGAGTTAATGGGGCTTCCATCAGCCCATATCCAGGAATAAATCATTTGTAATAGCCCGTGAGACCAAGAAAACCTCTGAGAGCCTTCACTGTAGTGGGAGTGGGCCAAGCCTGAACCCGAGTCAGCCATAACTTGCCCTGTTGTGACTATGTGACCTAAATAATGGACCCTGGTCTGGCCAAACGTGCATTTGGACAATTTGGCATAGAACCAATTCTCTCGCAACACCTCCAAGGTTCTTTCAAGATGTTGTAAGTGTGTGGACCAATCATGGCTGTATACCAAGATGTCATCGAAGAACACCAATATGAAACACCTTAGAAAAGGCCTAAATATGTCATTCATAATGGACTGAAAAGTAAGGGCGCATCTGAGCCTCCTAGTTCGAAGTCTATGGTCATCTGAGTCCAATTACACATTACTGGGCCTACCTAGCGCAACCATTACACCCCTAACATAGCATCCGCCCCACTAAAGTCTAGGGGGTGGAGATCCACTGTAAATTTATGCCCCTGAATGAACAGCTTCTCATCTCTACAAATACCATCACATACAATTTTGTTTCCATCCGTAACATGAACGGAAAAGGAAGGATAATAGTGGACAGCCATACCTAGTTGGTGGACCAGAATCCAAGCTACAAAGTTGAGAGTGTTGTCACTGTCTATCAAAACAGTCATCGGGCATCCCCAAAGCTGTCCATTTACCTTCATAGCCCCGGAGGATGTCGATCCGTTTAATGCATTGAGGGATATCTCCGTATCAATTTCGGTGATCGTGGGCTCTTCTTCACCAAGTTCAGGAACCTCCATTTCTCCTTCGGAATCTTCCGTTTGCAAGAGAAATACCTGTTGGACTTTACATTTATGGCCTGGCTCGAGTTTCTCCTCACAATTGTAACACAAACCTTTCTCTCGTCGGGCTTGCATCTCAACCCAGGACAGGCATCTGAAAGGCATTTTGGGCCTCTGAGCAGAGGCTCTGTCTAGTCCGGTATTGGGCTAGGGCAAAAGCTCATCTAACTTGTGAGGTGGAGACTTAAGAATCAGTCCCGTGGCTCGATTTACTCGCCTCGTCCGGTCCAGACGTTCCTCCTAAAGACGGGCTAACCCCACGACTACCAATAAGGTAGAAGGTCTCCAAGCTTTTACTTCTACCTTGATGTCTTCCCTTAACCCTCCGATGAAACTCCCAACCAACACCTTCTCCGTCCAGCCATCAACACTGCGAGTCTCTCGAGTTCAACTTGATACTCTCGAATAGGCCCTATTTGTTTAAGCTTCAAGAGAACCTCRTCCCAGTCTTCATATGCAGTCGACCCGAAGCGAACACAGAGGACGTCGATGAAGTCCTACCATGAAACTTGTGGGTGCGATCTCCAGAACCACTGGAACCAAAGGATGGCGCCGCAGTCGAGATGAAACGAAGCAACGGTCACCCTCTAATGACCAGGGGTCTCATGATATTCAAAATATTGTTCCGCCTTAAAGATCCCCGAAATGGGGTCTCTGCCAGCAAACACCGGAAAGTCAAGCTTAGCATACCGTCCCCCATAGGTTCCAGGGCGTCTACGTCCGCTGCTGCTCGACTCCACTTCATTGTCCCTGTCCGCAACTATCAATTTCTCACATTGTTGGGAAGCCACCATTGACAGCAGCTCCTCCAACTCCTTCAGTTCCAACGTCACCTAGTGTATGTCGACTTCCAAGTGGTCCATCTAGTCATCTAAAGAAGCTGATCGAGTATTAGGCATGGTGAAACGTTGGGCTCTGATACCAGATGATAGGTTGCTGCCTACTTCAAGGTTCCTTCGAGGGGAACTGACCTCCTGAAGAGGGAGGGAGAGACAAAGAGAGAGCGAAGAAAGGACTGTTATTATTATCATTTCTTGGTAGAGGGTTCAGCTTATATAACTATAGCTGACTGTTACACTGCAATTCTAACAAACTCAGTTGGTTACGATTTCCCCGAACGTGAAGTTGGTTGCGATTCCCTCAATCGTGGTCTGGAGCTGCTCAAGTGCAGGGCAGAGGTTCTTCTTCTTTCGTGTACACACCATCGTAATCGGGGGTCGTGGGCCATTAGCATAACGGGTTGGGCTTGGGTCGGCCCTTGGGATCTCATCACATAACCTTGGTGAAGTGATCGGCTCACTAAAGATTGGAGGAAATATGAGGAAGAGTGATGTGACCTGCAGTGAGAAGGTCTCTAATGAAGTGAAAATCCACCTCTATGTGTTTAGTTTGTTCATGAAAGACTGGATTAGAGGCGACCTTGATTGCATCCATGTTGTCAGAAAATAAAGGAAAAGGGGCTAGATGATCAATGGCAAGATCATGGAGAAGGGCCTTAAGCTAGACAAGTTCATAGAAAATAGATGACATAGCATGGTATTTAGCTTCAATATAGGACTTAGAAATTGTCTATTGCTTCTTGCACTTCCAAGAAATGAGTGAATTACCCAAAAAAACACACCATCTAGTGGTGGACCATTTGGTGTCTGGACAACCAGCCCATTCAGCATCAACATAGAAAATCAACTAAGAAGTAAGGTTTGCGAGGAGTAGGCACAAACTGACTTACTATTTGTACAGCATAGGATATCTCTGGCAGAACCATGGTGAGGTAAATGAGGCTACCAACAAGTTGATGATATAAGTTTGCATTAGAAGAAGTTATCCACCACCCTTACTAAGCTTTAGGTTGAGTTCCAAGGGAGTATTAACCTACTTCAAGTCAAAGAGGTTGGCCATCTTGATAAAATCACTAGCATATTTCTAGTGATTAACAAAGTATCCCCGAGAACTCTGAGTAACCTCAAGACCAAGAAAGTAGGCCACTAGACCAAGATCCTTCAACTTGAAGGATTGGCCAAGAAGTTGTCTCAACTGAGTGACTGACCAATCCCTTCTAAGTCATCACTAGTAATAAGTATGCCATCAACATACACCAATTGTGGAGTCAAGCATTGAGGACGCTTGAGAATAAAGAGGGAATAATCTGAGAAGCTCTGCTGAAATCCTGATTTAATTACAACTCCACAGAATCTATCAAATCAAGCTCATGGAGATTGTTTGAGCCCATATAAAGACTTCTCGGTTTTGCAAACTAAGGATCACCACAATACCCTAGAGGAGGTTTCATGTACCTTGTCTCACGGAGATGCCCATAAGGAAGGCATTCTTTACATCCATTTGGTGAACATTAACAACAGTAAAGGCAAGAATAAGTTTGACAGTAGTCATCTTGGAAACAAGTGCAAAAGTCTCCTCATAGTCAATAGCATGTTCCTATTTGTACCCTTGAGCAACAAGCCAGGCTTTATATCTGTCCAAACTGCCATTAGAATTCAGCTTAACAGAGTAAACCCAATGGATACCAATGATGGAAGCATCTGGCGGAGGGGGGACAAGTTCCCAAGTATCAATCTCCAATAAAGCCTAAATCTCAAAGTACATTGCATCTTTCCAATGTCCAACTACTATAGCCTATTGCTAAGATTTTGGATTATCTGTGGAAGAAAAAACAATAGAAAGGAAGCTATCGGTGGCAGGAAATCCATAGTGGTCAAGGGGCGGGAAACTCAATCAGCTATGTGTTCCTTTATGGGGTAGGAGATGAAGGATCACTTACAGGAGGTGCAGATGTGGATGGAATAAGCTCTAAAGATAAAGGAGAAGCAGTCGTCGGAGTCGATGATGGAGGAGGCACAGGTGCTGGTACAACTGGATACTTTGTAAATTGTGGTACAATAAGTGGGAGAGGGATATTGAATTGTAGAGAATACTGAATTGTTTGTATTTCTTAATCTTTTGAGCATAGGGGTATTTTTATCTTTTCCTTATTATCACAGAGGGTATAAGTATCTTTTACTATTCCTTGTACTAAATATAAAAAGAAATAGAAGAAGTCAATGGGCTGCACATTATTTCTTCCTCTCAATTACAATTTTTCTCTCTTCTTTCTTGCTCTATATTACTGAAACGTATTTTCCCATTTTTTGTTTCCTTTACAGGTTTCTTTTCGAGTTGGTATTTATAGAAAAATTTAGCATGTTTATGGGGGTCAAACCTCAAACAATTGCATATTCTTCCCTTGTTAGAATAGGGTAGAAGTGGTTTTCACACAAGCATAACAGAGAAATAAATCTGAAGAAAAATTAAGATAAATCACCAACAAACTTCTATTCTACCACCACTGCATACCCAATGCAAAAATAATGGTGCATTTTGCTATTGAAAAAAAGAAATAGGTATTGAGATTCTAATATAAGTCCTGAAGGTAAGCCCAAAACCATATGAAAAGGTGCAGTTTCATAATTTTTTTGTTGAATAACTGAAACTTTATTAATAATGACAAAAGAATAATTGTGAAAAGGGCAAATTTAATAAACCTCATCACACTGCATTGCTGTTGTAAGCCGATGAGCAATGAAGATTGCTGTTCGATTCTCTGCTACAGACTTTAATGCATTTAATATCTCAGCCTCAGTTGTACTGTCAAGTGCACTGGTAGCTTCATCACAAAGCCTAGCAAGAAAGGTAGGAAGGAAATTAAGGAAATGGAATTTTCTTTACTTTTACATACAGGAAGAAAAAGACTGAAAAAGAACTGTAAGTAATCAGCATTCACCAGTGATCAGTCAGACTTTACAGAAGTCCCAAGATAAGAAAAAATAAAGAAACTATATCTCTAAAATACATCTCTGACTTGATTTTCTTTTTAAATGATAGAAAATAACTTGTCTTGCTACCCCTGGAGCTGGGGACTCGATCAAGTTCTTGTCTTTCTACTCCAGCCCTAGCAAGAGAGGCTGATAAAGCATTGGCCAACCATGTGATCCAACAGAATAAGCAGTTAATAAGAGTAGCCAAGGATTTAGTTTTCTGTAGGAGAATCTGAGATTCCAGGGCCCTTTCTAAGTCTAAAAATTCCATCTTAATACAACTTAACAGTGACCATCAACACATAAACCACTCTAACTAGGTCTGTCAATGGGTTGGTTCTGCGGCTTCTGAGTAATTGCCCAAACTGAACTGAACCGATTATGTCGGTTCTGGTTCCATGATTTTGTCCCAATTAATAATTGGGTCTGTTCCGGTTCTTGCCTGCCCAAACCCAACTCATTGACAGCCCTAACTCAAAAATAATGAGGTCAGTTTTAGGTCCTATAAGAGGGCAAGTACCTCATCTCTTAAAGAATTCCCTTCCACCACCAGACATTCAAAGATCAAAAGTAATGTATGTTCATGATTTCTGAACACAAAACCCATCCTTGAAGGGATAACTTTACCTAAAGAGCAACAATCAAAGTTGCATTTGATTACTCCACTACCCAAAGTGTTAGAAGTAGATAATAACGTATTGGAGTAGGTGACAGGGTAGTTATTTCCATTTACACAAGTTACTTATGTAAGGTTAGTCTAGTATATTTGATTTGTGTTATACTTCCATATAAATATAAGTCGGCCACAATTTTTTTTATCAGAAATAAAGATAGATTCATTAATTAAAAATATATGGGATTAAGGCTAAGTTTGGGAGTGCTTAAAAATAAGTGTTTATCTGAATAAACACTTATTTTGGGCCAGGACCACACCAATAAGCACTTCTTTGCATTTGGGAAATAAGCCCAAAATATGTGCTTATTGGATAAGCCCAAAATTTGGGCTTATTTTTAAGTGCTTATATTTCCTTTTTGGCCTATCTTGTCCTGCCATGTCATTTTAAAAAATACCTATACTACCCCTGTTTAAAATAATGCTTTTTCACCAAACAATCATAAGTGCTTATTAGAATAAGCACTTGTTTTTAATCACTTATTTTTTCAAATAAGCACTCCCAAACTTGGCCTAAGTACAATCTGATGACCCTAGTGTCATCCCCACAAAATACAACCAGAATTACAAAGAGGCCCAATATAGGTGCTGCTTTGTAGCCCTTTGTTTGGCTAAAGTATCTGCTAGCCCATTTGCAATTCTCCTGATCCACCTGAATTCAGCATTTATATCCTTTGCTAATCTTTCCACTTCCCTGAAGATATGTTTAAGGGTCCATGGGATATGTTTGTTACATCCTTCCCAGCATATAACTACTTTCGAGTCTCCTTCCATTTCCACATATTGAAAACCCAATTGCTTTGCCAACCGGAGCCCCTTTAGTAAAGCCAATAACTCTGTCTTTGTTGAATTTCTAATGTTAATTGGCCCTGAATATAGAACCAATATCTTCCAATCCACATTCCTGATTGCTTCACCTACTCCTGCCAATCCCGGGTTGCCCATTGAGACTGCCACCAAAATTCAATTTTACTTTGCTAACCTCTGGTAGTTTCCACTCAACTCTTAGAATTTCCTTTTCTCTAGAGGACAGTACTATTTCTTCCCATGCCCTTAGGATGTCAATTACTGAGAAAAGTTGAAAATTGTCTAAAGTTTTTATCCACGAGGCAACCCTCACTTTATGTTGTCAACTACTTCTTCCAACGTTGTAGTGAGAATGGCCCGAATGGGCCTTAGTGTTCTTTATTTCTTTTAATTAGTATTTAAAAGTCATGTTTCTTAGTTATGGGCCTTATGGGCCTTCTTTTATTTTCTTTAATTATTTCTTTAGTGCTGGCCGCCCCATTAAGGGCATCCAAGTAATTGTACTCAGAATTATTAATAAAAGTGATGAAAGGGGGCTAAAGAGAGAGGTTTGGATTCTTCTTTTCTCTCTTCCCTTCTTTTCTTCTTCCACAACCTATTGCTGAAACTTCTTTCTTCTTCTTTCTCTTCTCACTTTTCTTCTTTTCTTGCATTATCTGAATTATCATAGGTGTAATTTTCAACTTGGTATCAGAGCAGGTTCTCACTTTCAACCTTTTTCTCCTTTCTTTGCCCATACATAGTGTGTATGGAGAACTAATCAGTTGATCAATCAACTACTTATGCAGCCTAGTTAGGAAGGTTTTTGGAGAGTCTTGTGGAGGTTTTTCATCCTTAATTGAAGCCCAGGGCAGATTCTTGGAGATTTTTCACAAAAACCCTAGATAACTAGAAAAACCTTGTTACAGGTTGTATAGACAGTTTGAACCAGGCGCTTGGGGATCAGAGGTAAGCTTTTTGATTTCTATTAGGGGCAGTTTTAGTTGGATTGAAATTCTGGAACCTCTAGAAGGGTGGTTGAAGTTTCTCTCTTTCTACCCATCTCGTAGGACCCTGTGAAACCCTAATTTTGGAGGGTTGAAAGGTTGTTCTTTGCTTAGAACAGTAAATCTAGCTTAGTAAAGCCCTAATTTGATTTTCGTTTGCATCCGTTTACTCAATGGAGCAAACTGGAGGAGAGACCAAATATTCCACAAATTCTGGGTTTGGACATGAGGGGTCAGTAGAGAATCTTTTGGGGTTGTGACTACTGTGAAGCTAGATGGGACCAATTATTTAGCTTGGTCTCAGGCTATTAAGATACATGTGTGTAGTAGAGGAAAATGGGGTTATATTACCGGGAGCAAGAAGAAACCGAAGGAGGATGATCCTACCTATGAAAGGTGGATGCAAGAAAACTACACAGTAGTGGGTTGGTTAGTGAATTCTGTGAAACCACACATTAGTTAGCATTACCTGTGGATGGAAACTACAAAAGAAGTGTGGGATAGTGTCATAGAGACCTATTCCCAAAAGCTTAATATTACTCAACCCTACAAATTGAAGCATGATGTGAATAATCTTAGACAGGGGGGAGAAGCCCTTAGCAGTCAACTTCTCTATGTTGAAATCTCTTAGGCAAGAGATTAATCTGATGGAGATTGTTGTTTGGGGTTGCAAAAAGGATGCAGAAACATATAGGAGGTTGGTGGAGAGAAATTGGGTCTTTGAGCTCCTCACCAGACTCAACTTAGAGTATGATATTGTGAGGCAAAATGTTTTAGCAAAGGATGAGGTAACTTTGTCTCAAGCATATGCTATGGTGAGTAGTGAGGAGAGCAGAAGACATGTTCAGTCTATTGAGCCGCAGGTTGATCACTATGCTAATGCTGGGATGAAGCCGAAGGTTAGCATTGGGAAGAAAGATATTATCTATGAATATTGCAAGAAGCATTAACACACTAAAGACACATATTGGAAGCTACACCCAGAGGTCGTTCCTGCCAAATTCAAGAAAGAAAATGGTGGAAAAAGGGTTGAAACTGGAAAAGGTGGAAATGAAAATGTAGCCACCTCTTCACAAGGTGAACAAGGACATGGTGGAGAGAAGTCAGTGGGAGAACAGTTTGTAACCACTAGGGCTGAATATGAGAAGTATGGTCAAATCATCAGTCACTTGGAGTCCATTGGTACAACTCCTTCAGAGACTGTTCCTTCCTCTACATATGCTCACTCAGGTATTTGTGCCACTGCACATCATGCTTCTGTCTCAGGTACTCATAGAACCCCTTGGATAATTGATTCTAGTGCTTCTGACCATATGACCAGTGTTTCAGAGTTATTCACCTCTTACCAACTTCTTTCTGGCCGAACAAGATATCCCTTGTTGGTGGCTCCCTATCCCCTATCACGGGAAAGGGAGATATTAAGACCTCTAATGCCCTAACCTTATCATTTGTTCTTCATGTACCTAAACTTAATACCAATTTGCTTTCAATTAGTAATTTGACTAAATCCCTGAATTGCAGTGTGACCTTTTTTCCTTCATATTGTGTTTTTCAGGACATGGAATCTCAAAAGGTGATTGGGAGTGGCCATGGCCCATGAGGCGAATGGGATCTATCTATTAGACATGCCTGAGTAGAGCCAAGTACAACCTAAGAGAACTACATTTGTTTCAAAGTCCACTAGTCGTATTATGTTATGCCATAATCGTTTGGGTCATTTGTTTTTTTCTTCATTGAGTTAGTTGTTTCCAAAGTTATTTAAAGGAATTAGTCAATCGAGTCTTCATTGTGGGAGCCTTACCATTTACCATGTATGGGTGTGTATAAATATTCCATCCTGTTTATTGATGATTTTTCACAATATACTTGGATTTACCTTATGTGCTCTCGGGATGAAGTGCCTAAACTTGTGCAACAGTTCCATGAACACATACTCAGTTTAATACCCACATCAAAATATTTTGGTCAGACAATGCTAAGGAATATTTTGAGGACCTTATCTCCTATCTTGAGAAGTTTGGGGTTATTCATCAGAGTTCTTGTGTTCACACTCTACAATAAAATGGAGTAGCGGAGAGGAAAAACAGACACATTGTGGAAGTTGTAAGGAGCATTCTTTTTGCTATCCATGTTCCTGTGAAGTTTTGGGGTGATGCAATTTTAACAGCTACCTTCCTTATTAATCGCATGCCTTCTCAAGTCTTGGGGTTAAAATCTCCTTTTGGAGTCCTCTTTCCTGATGTTGAGATTTTCTCTATTCCTCTGAGGGTCTTCAGTTGCACTTGTTATGTCCACATTCCCAGTTCCAAAAGACACAAGTTTGACCCCAAGGCTCAGAAGTGTATCTTCCTTGGTTATGCCTCCAAAAGAAACAAATTTGTTTGACCTCAAGGCTCA